TCCGCTAAAGGTGAAAAATTCTAGTGGGAATCCTTGTGATTCTTTGAGCAAGTGGGACAAAAACGAAGTCACATAAAAGGATACAAGTGGAGAGAAGGGCTCAAACTTTAAACCCTAGGGTTTTGGTGTTCATGATGATGTTTTCTTGTATTGTGAAAGTATGAAGCAATTGCTGCCCAATTCAAGAATATAGGAATCTAGTTTTCCAAGAAAATTGAATGAGGAAGAGATAAGAGTACTTCTAATTAAATACTTTGGTCATCTAACTATATATATATATATATATATATATATATATATATATATATATATATGAGGCAGGATCCTTTGACACCGGTGTCAAAGAAAAAGTTTGACACCTCATCTGAGAACCATTAGATTAAAAAAAATCAATGGTGTCACATGTTTACAAATCAGAATCGTTGATTTTTTTTAATCTAACGGGTCTCAGATGAGGTGTCAAACTTTTTCTTTGACACCGGTGTCAAAGGATCCTGTCTCTCTCTCTCTCTCTCTCTCTCTCTCTATATATATATATATATATATATATATATATATATATATATCCGGCAACTTGAGATAAGTTTATCCTCGGCCACCCAAAACTATATCATTTTGTTTATTTATTTTCTTATATTAATTAATTCACCTTTGAATGATTATGATTCACTTTCTCTCTCTTCCTTTATCACATTCATTTATCTTTGTACGGTTATGATTTAGTAGTCGAAGATAAAATTATCTCAATAAATGATAAAGGATAAACTCATTTATATATATATATATATATAAGTACTAGTCTAGCATGGAAACAACATGGGATTAGTCCATAGTAAGATTAACCTGCGGGATTAATTGTATTAATGTGAATTTTTTTCTCTCGAAAATACATTTTCTTTTCGGTAAATTTCTCGAAAATACATTAATCTAATATATCTTTTAATCAATTGCTTTACTACGGTCAAAAATCTTTTTGGAAAAATGAAAAACTTAAAATATATTTTATGATTTACTCTAATTTGTCATTTATTTTTTCATTATTTTTTCCGCGTTTTAGTTTTGATTTATAAATGGCAGTATGTCAAAAAAAAAAAAAAAGTTTTTTTGATTATATCATATAATTCAATTTTTTTGTACTTTTAACAATTTCAAATCTTAGTCTCGTACAAATTTATAATTGTTACTTAAAATGAGACAGGTGAGGGGTATAACCGCATCTTACCATTTGTTCCTTGGCAAAAATAAATTGTTATACAATTTCAAATCGCCTTAGATTAAAAAAAAACGAGAAATAAATCATGAAAGAAATTAAAAGTAACTAATTTTAAACTTCAAGTGAAGTTCATCGGAAAAAAAAATTAATTTATTGCTTTTTTAATAAAAAATTACGAATAAGTAATCATTTTAAAAGTAATTACGAAAATATAGCAGTCAAACACGTCCCATAGGGGCGTGACCGGTTAGAGAGAGATACGCCCAATGTTGGGCGTGACCTAAGCGTGACTCACGTCCATATGGGGCGTGACCAAGTTGGAGAGAGACACGCCCAATGTTAGGCGTGACCGAGGAGAGAGACACGCCCAATGTTGGGCATGAACGAGGAGAGAGACGCCCAATGTTGGGCGTGTTTCACCAGGTGCTGTCACGTATCACAAAAGTCAATAATTTGACCGTAAAACTTTGGAAGTCCATAACTTTTGACTCGGGTATCCGAATTAGGTAATTTTTTTTTTGATTTCACATAACTTTTCGAGATCTACGTAATGACACCTAATTTGACCTATTTTGTCTCTCACAAAAAAATTTGAATTTACAACAATGATACCATAATTATTAAAAATGACATGACTTTGTTACCTTATAATTATTACTAAAAATAATCTAACATTTTTATAATCATGAACAAAAATTTAAAAATCAAAATAAAACGAAAAACACTCACTTAACTTTTTAATATAAATTATTCGATATTCTGTCACCGACAAATGTTAACTTTTATTAATTATAAATTTCATAAAATTCTTCATTCAAAATTTTAATATATAGTCAATAACATACATAATTAACCTTATCATAACTTACCATAATCAGAAGGATCTTCATTATTAAAGTTTCTAATCATAATAGTGGTTTTCTGTCCATTAATTTTTGTTTAAACGTTCTTATGGTATCATTATTGTAAATTCAATTTTTTTTGTGAGAGACAAAATATGCCAAATGAGGTGTCATTACGTATATCTCGAAAAGTTATGTAGATTCAAATTTTTTTTACCTAATTCGGATACCCGAGTCAAAAATTATGGACTTCCAAAGTTTTACGGTCAAACTGTTGGCTTTTGTGTCACGTGGCAGCACCTGGTGAAACACGCCCAACATTAGGCGTGTCTCTTTCCAACCGATCACGCCCCTATGGGGCGTGTTTAACTGCTATATTTTCGTAATTAATTTCAAAACGATTACTTATTCGTAATTTTTTATTAAAAAAACAATAAATTAATTTTTTTGCCGAAGTTCATCACCTAAAAAGATTATTTGTATAATGTATTTATTTTTTTGGTTTCTTAGAAATTATTCTCTTAGACTTTTGAAAAAAAATATTAAATCATTTTTTTAATTTCTTTTTCTTTTTCCCTTAAATATCCTATTTAGTTATCCTGAAGATTTTGAGACAATTTTTTTTTCTATGAAGCAGTAAACAAAAGGACTTTAAACATCAAATGAAAACATTTACTGAAACTGAAACAATTCTTAAATATGGCTCTAATTAATAAAACCAAAAAGAAAAATATTTATCTACTTATGTAGTTATCTCCAAATAAAATTTTGAGGATTTTAATATGAATTTAAATTTATTTTCAACTTTTTATGTGACAATATAGTCATCCCCCAAAAGAATTTCAAATAACAAATACGTACACGTAAATTATAAAATTGCATGTCGTAAATTAGAGTTTATTCTAACATAACTCTAAAATATTTATTTATATTTGCTAAAAAATTATAACTTATATATACTCAAATTAATTATTTTATATCTGTTTGCTTTAATTTATTTTTATATAAAGCATCCATCTCTTAGATAAATTATTTATAGGTGTCTTAGATCATATTAAAATATTTTTTGATAAATATCTTAATATAAATAAATAAGTTATATTAAAAAAAAGGTGGAAATGTTATGCTTTGATTTTCAAACTAATTTTTTATATTTTATTTGAGCTTATAAATAAAAAAGTATTAATCATCATCATCATCATTATTATTATTACATAATCATATTACAAACTATGGAGATTTTAAATAATAATTGTACATTATAAATTAGGAAAATGTTATATTTACAACTTTTTTTCGTTTACAAATTTTTACAATTAAATCTTAACCATTGATTTTCATCAATCTGACGGTTATAATTTATTGAGAATTAATAATTAATTAATAAGTGTGAGTCAATAAATTATAATCATCTTATAGACGAAAATCAATGGTTAAAATTTAATTATAAGAGTTTATAAACGAAAAAAGTTGTAAATATAACATTTTTCTATAAATTATTGTAATTACTTTTCATTATTAATGACATAGATTACATTGAAGATTCTCAATGTGCTCTCAAACTTTTGGATAATACAGAAAACGCAGTCACCCTGCAGTATGAGATATTAGCTCTGTTAATTGTTAGTTGTAACTTGTAACGTTCATGGGAGGCTTTTGGCTAACCAGTCCTCCTAGTTCTCATAATTTTAGCTCTTATATTTGGTTGATTGCCATTTCTTCATATCCAAAAAGAAATATGATTCTTTTTTTTTGGGTATCTAACATTCTCTAGATATTACTAGCTATTATCTACCAGTAGATAAAATGTATCAGGTTTTTGTTAAACCAAAAAATAATACTAGTTTAAACTTTGTCTCCGTAGATCTTGCATAAAATGGCACTCAGTATGCCTTTTTTTTTTTTTAATGATTCGTACGAATCCACCTCCTAGGCTTGGATTCTGTGATAGATTTGAAAGAATAAAATATCTTTTAACTACAAGTATATATTATTAATCGCCTTATATATACCCGTGAAATAAAATTGATAGATATACTAAAACAGGCTTCTGTTTTTTTTTTTTTTCCTTTTTTTTTTTTTTTTTTTAAGTATACAGCTTAAGGTTTTTCATTAATCATTATCATTATGACCAGTGAATTATTCAACAAATTAGAATGCATGAAAATCAACTAAATTTCTTCATGAATACTTGATGCGGGCGTTTCCTACCAATTACTATCAAAAGATGAAAATCTGTAGGCCAGATGGGTTTAATTAGCAAATGTGATTTGGTGGATGGACCCTTTGATAGATGTAATTACAGATCCCAAATTTATGGTTGTAGGACCAGAATCCTTTAGTCTCTATTGGTGAACATCTTTTAAGGCAATCATACATGCTTAAAGGCAGTGTACTGTCATACATTAATGTTCATGGATTTGTTAAGCGTGGGGTACATCTAATTCAATGCAAGTAATATGGAAAATGCTGAGAAAGTTAGATCCACTGGATTTAATGTTTACAGAAAATGTAAGTTAGGTACTTCCTCTAGCGAATCAAAGTTATGTGAAAAGCCTATTCGTTTTCCACTGAAAGTAACAATCATCAAGAATATAAATGGATTTGGTTGCATAACACAATACAGTAGGTGGGAAATACCATCACCACGCATTTATATACATGTGAAATCAATCAAAAAAACAAAAAATCCTGTGATCTTCACTCAAGAACAACAATTGATCACACTCAACTACACCAAACATATTAAAAAAACATTTCTCTATTTTTCTTTTCTCTGTTCTCACTAGGGGCTTTTCTGTTCACATGCCCTATCCCTTGAAGGCTTTATTTGCAACAATACAAATCATAAATCCTTGATGATACGCAAAGCAAAAACTAGAATACAGAAAACATGCATGTATATTTTGCAAACCCAAGAGCCATCTAGCTCTGCAACATATAGACTATGGATGAGGAGAAAAAGGTGGTAGAGGCCATTTTCCAAACGTGGGGTGGTGGAAAAAGTGCTTTAGAGGTAGTGGAGGCCATTTTCCAAACTTGGGGTGATGGAAAAAGTACTTTGGAGGGATCTCGGGAAGAGGTGGACATGGAGGCTTCTTGAACGGAGGCAACTTTGGGAAAGGGGGAAGAGGTTTAACCAATGGTGGTTTGTAAATTGGAACAGGAGGAGGAAGCGGCTTGTAAATGGGAATGGAAGGTGGAAGTGGCTTCTTGAAGATTGGAACTGGTGGTAGAAGTGGATGCTTAATCTTTGGTGGGCATGGCTTCTTGACCTTTGGAACTGGTGGAGGAAGAGGTTTCTTATATATTGGAACTGGTGGAGGAAGAGGTTTCTTATATATTGGCACAGGTGGAGGAAGAGGTTTGTAATATATTGGAACTGGTGGAGGAAGAGGTTTCTTATATATTGGCACAGGTGGAGGAAGAGGTTTCTTATATATTGGAACTGGTGGAGGAAGAGGTTTCTTATATATTGGCACAGGTGGAGGAAGAGGTTTGTAATATATTGGAACTGGTGGAGGAAGGGGTTTCTTATATATTGGAACAGGTGGAGGAAGGGGTTTCTTATATATTGGAACTGGTGGAGGAAGAGGTTTCTTATATATTGGAACTAGTGGAGGAAGGGGTTTTTTATATATTGGAACAAGTGGAGGAAGGGGTTTCTTATATATTGGAACAGGTGGAGGAAGGGGTTTCTTATATATTGGCGGGCATGGCTTCTTGACCTTTGGAACCGGAGGAGGAAGAGGTTTTTTATATGTTGGAACAGGTGGAGGAAGAGGTTTCTTGTATACTGGAACAGGTGGAGGAAGAGGTTTCTTGTATATTGGAACAGGTGGAGGAAGAGGTTTCTTGTATATTGGCATAGGTGGAGGAAGAGGTTCCTTGTAGACTGGAACTGGTGGAGGAAGAGGTTTCTTATATATAGGCACAAGTGGAGGAAGAGGTTTCTTATAGATAGGTATAGGAGGAAAGATAGGGTGCTTAGGGAAAAACTTTGGTGGAAATGGTGGAAAGACTTTAGGAGGGAAGGGGAAATGTGGAAGGGGAAGCTTAGGCAAAGGTGCGTGATTGAAGAAAGGCCAAAAAAATGCTGAAGTGCAGGTCACTGATGAAAATTTGAGTTTCCCTGTAGGACCGAGGATGTGTTTGTCATCATGAGTTTTTGATTTGATGACAATTTTGGTGTCATAAAGACCATTGTGGGCAGGACAAGGTGCAGCTGATGCACTATGTAGCTGAGCATAGCATTCTTCTTTAAGTTCACCAGCTTTTACAATGTCATGAGGAAGGGATACCTTGAAGTTTCCATCTTTATCAAGCTCACCAACCCCTCTCGTTTTAAAGTGTCCATTTGCTGCCTTGCAGTCTACTGTTACACGTAGCCCTACAGAAAAGTAATTAATAAAACAAGATTATTAGGTTCTAGAATTTGGCTTCTTTACTAAGCGTTTATTAACATGATGTTTAATTGAAATCAGCCTCTATTTTCAATTGTTTTTCAAGTCAAAATAGTTAAAAAGGAACAGTGAGTCTCCAAATAAGTAGGAGAAGCTGGAGTATAAAATTCACATGGTTTTGTATATCTGTCACTTCTTACATTAGTAAAGTCCATACACCACAAAATTGGACACGTTACGGGGTCCACTTGTTCAGTGTGATCATAAGTACTGATACACAACTAAATGGTTAAAAATAAAAATATGCATGTACTATGTATGACTTTTGAGATAATATACCTGAGAAAGCCTGGCTTGTCTTAATATTGTTCTCTTTGCAGTCTGCACATTCTCCCAGTCCAACTACCTCAACTTTACTATGGTCTCCATAGCAAAAGCCTACAACCACAAAAAGCACAGACAACCAGAAGCACAGAAGTGCTCCTTGGCGCCGGGTGAAAATCTGCATAGGGAACTGCAATTACAATTCCTTATGACAAATAAACAATAACAGAAGAGAAAAGAACAGGGCAGAGTTGGAACTGAGAAGCTACTAAGCTTCTATGGTTTGATAGAAGGTGAGTATATTGTGTGAGATTTGTGAGCCTAATATATAACAATCTTGGATATTATCACCGAACGCCCAGTGAGAGCGAAATTAAGAACTTCACATGGTCCAAGGGGCCCCATGTATGAATAGGATCCTCAAGGAAAAAATCATTAACGTCCACACACCAGCTTCTATGAGCAAATGACATGATCGTTCATTGAATGCATGAAGCTCTCAACCGCCAGCTAAATGCATGTCTTTATGTAACACATGTGTCTCAACCTACTTAAATGGCATTAATAAATGCTTTTTACATTGTATTACTTCAACGTTCATCGTTTTGATAAAAAAAAACTCGCAATGTTTCCACTCTCTCCACATGAAAGGTTGACCTGCTAGTATTTTTAACATATGGTCTGTGTCTTATTGATCCACCGAAAGCAGCCTTTAATTTTTCACTTTTTGTTAAATAGGTTTGGCTTTCCCCATTTTTATGTTATTATTTTGACATCATTGGCATTACTTACAATAATAATGACTGAGCTAGAAAAGTTTGTAAGAAGGACCAAGATATAAAAAACCTTACGCAATAAGGATTAAGGACAATGACTGTTCACTCTTTCTCGGGCTTTATCATTCGTTATAGCTTCCAAAGGAGCGATCGTACATGCTTGTCACTCCCTGGCTCTCTGTCATACGAGCAAAACATACTATAACCAACATAATAACGTTACAAACTTAACAGAGTACCAACCCTTTGTGCTATTTCACTCGCAAAACTGATGTCTGTACAACGATTTTGGTAACAGAAGTCTCACAGGTTAGATGTGAGTCGTTGCATGTGAATAAAAAAAGCGACATGAATGAGTGTGATTTATAAAAAAATTTGTAGAATTACGTGTATGTAACATAATTGTTCCCTAAGTTTAAATAGGATAAACGATATACCAGAGTAACATGATCCTTATTATATATACAAAAGGAAACATCCGTTTACAATTTTTTTTTATAAATTTATGTAAATTGCACTATGTTCTCCCAGAAGGAGAAGATACTGTGATTAGTGTTCTCCCGGAAGAAGATAATGTAATTTGTAAACAAAAAAATTTGTAAATATAACCTATCCCATATATAGAAAATATCCGTTTACAAATTTTTTTATAAATTTTTACAAATTACTTTATATATTACACTAATGTACTCCCAAAAATATATAATGTAATTTGTAAAAATTTATAAATATAACCTTTCGACAGCCGAGAGCTGTGGAGAATCCAGTTTTAAATATGCGTGATATCACTTTAGGAACCTTTGGCACCACGAGTCCAGACCTCTTAACTCACTAATATCGTACAGTTGTAAAACACCACAAGCTACAACCGAAGTAGCTCCAAATCCATTACGTTTTCACCATGTACTAGATAGATAACGATGTTCTAGGCTTTTAAAATCTATCGCAAACACCAAATAAGAAAGCGTGTCTAGAAAAATAAAATAAAAAAATCTTGCATACCCTACATATTCGCTTTCAATCAATCTCTTGTCACTTCCATTAATCACCAAATATAAATCCATAACTAATTATTATAACCCCACAATAAATATAAAAGCTGGAAAGACATGAACTGGAACCCAAAATTCCAAATTCACCATCAGGATCGAACCGAATCGATTTTTTTTAAAAATCTGAACTAAATTGATTTAAATAATTTAATTCAATTCAAAAATAGTTTACTTCAAAAATGATTCAGTTCAATTGAAAACAATTCGATTCAAAACCAGTTCAGATCGACTCTATTTTGAAAAAAAAAAATTATAAAAATCAATTTGGTTCAATTCAAAAATGATTCAATTCAAAATGGTTCAGTTCTTAAACTGATTCTAAAAACCGATTCAGTTCATGAATTAATTCTTTAAAAACTGATTCAATTCATAAACTGATTTTTAAAAACCAGTTATTTTAAAAAACAGTTCGATTCGGTTCATGGTTCGATTCAATTTTTTGATTATTTTGCACACCCTATTCACCGCCAATAAACACAAAAAATATAGATAAAATAAACATTAACTAAAATAAAACATCTTCCATTTCTCCAAAGTTGTATCCTTCCTAACTTAGATCCCTGTTAGTTTTTCTTAGATATAGCTCAACTTCATTAGGAAAAATAAATAAATGGAAAAACTCTTTTAAGCTACAACAGAAAGGTAGGTTTTTCAGCCAAAAATTCAGAACTAGTTCCTCGTGCTCTCTCAAACTCATAAACCTAATCCGTTACAGGATTCTGTACTCCATGGTAAAGTCTTGTGTGGCTGAACTTGAGAATAATAGTTTATCTACTTCTTCTTCTTTGATTTGCTAGACTGAGACTGAGCATATGCAGTTCCCTGGTTGTCAAAATACAGGGCAAAGAAAGATATTTCAGAAAAAGTGCCCCTGATGGACAACAATGTGACATATAATAATAAATTATAGTATAAAGCATAAGAACAGACCTCTAGCCATTCATCTGTTGAAGCATCTGTAGTCCTGGTCCCAACTTCAACTTTTGGAGCCCTCTTTGATTTCTGACCAAATATTCATTTGCAGGCATGATGTTATTAGAAAGAGAAAGCAAATAAAAGGCTTGACTGGGAAACAAAAAAAAAACACTCCCCATTAAACCCCAACTAGTAAGAATGGGTTGAGGGCAATCTTTGTATACAGTTTTACCCTTACATAATTGCAAAGAGGCTGTTTTCCGAATTCGAACTTGTGACCTTTCAGTCACAAAGGAACAATTTTACCATTGCTCGAGGCTCGCTGATTGGGAAACAAAAAAAGCTCGACATTTTATTTTAAATTAGAATTCTGATCAACCGCCTTTCTCAATATTATCTTATGCATAAGACCTAATAAGTAACTGCATCGTGCCCCATAAAACATATCAAACTTAAAAGAGAAAATCTTATATGCTCCAAGAGTAAATGGATTCTCTTGCTCCAGATAACTAAAAACCAGAACCAAGATGACACCAATAATATCAGTTAACATAAAATGTTGCAAATAGGATTTCTCCTACTAGGCTGCTGCTTATTGTATGGTTCTCTTAGTCCTCGATCATCTAATAACCTCCCACAAAGGACAATTTCATACTAGTTTTCAATTTGGTAGTGAATATAGGGCAGAACCCGTAGAATTTAATAATACTCTTATTGAAGAAGCACTGTATGCCAAATCCCTGTTAGCATGAAGTAGTATTTAGCCAGACTTTTGAACCAACCATGGTGTTAGGAAGCGCCAATATACTTTTTTACAAGTAACATACGTGTAACAAACCATTGTTAGCAAAAATAGATAAATAACAAGAAGAGCACCACATAATTCTTTTAGAGTTATGAATTATGATCTCATGACATATCGTAGTTAGCAAATCAAACAAATAAGCAGAGAGTCTTAGTATAAACCAGGACAAATTAAAAGTGAAGTCAATGAGCACCGAGGAGTACCATTAGCAAGCTCTAGTGCTGATGACAATCATTTAATAGCATATTATTTGAAAAATTAAAGATTTTATTACCTTAGATAGGTTTTGTACTTGACCATGAATCCATAGCCCCAGGAGGACAAGGAGGGCAGCTCCAAGAGTAACAAGAAAAACAGATTCAATACTAAGAAAACCACCAGATTCAACAACTTCAATAGTGCCATTAAAGAAGGTGCTTTGATATAGATGGTCTTCTATCTCATATACAATGGCGCCCACAAGATCAAAAGTTCCAGGCTGCATAACAGAAACCTCATTATCAATAATGAGTGTAGAAGTACTTTGTGATTTTACTCATTGAGAAACTAAAAGCATTGGCCTACAAAATAATGGAGATACCTGCAAGAACTTGCTGACTGCGAATAAATATGGGAAAGTAGCTTGTGCTAAGGCTGGCACAGAACCATTGTTGAAACCCTGAATTGTTAAAACAAAAGATTGCATTTAAATTAATTATGCAATAACATCAGCTGGATCAGAATAGTGATACTGACATAATGTCACAGAATCCTATTTACTTCACAAGAAATGGCAAAAGCATGTACAATAACTTATTAACCATAATTTTCCAAAGTAAATGGTTCAAATTCAATGTTCCCAAAAGGACTTGGAGAACTACTTTAGATGGTTGGGGATCATCTAACTTAACAACATCAAAGGAAATGAAAATTTTCATCAATACATCCTCAGACCCCCTTTTTGCACACAGAAGAAGCATGTCAAATAAATGAAATTCGCACATAAAAAATCCTAAAAAGCCATGCCAATAGATGGCAAATAAAACAATCATCGTCATATGAAAATTAGCAGTTCTAGTGTCCTAAAACTTAGTCTTACAAGGGAAAAAAGAACCAGCAAGTGTTATCTTCAAACTTTTGTGCACCCAAACAACATAAACACTTTAGATTTTGCTACCAAAACTATTTTCAGGGGTATTTGAAAATCTCGTTTTTAGAAAAAATAATTAACATATTCCCAATATTGGTTGTATATAATAGAGGTTCTTCATCTATTTTATCATTTAGAAATTTAAGATTGATTACAAGGTAACAAGCATAAATAACCATTTAAAGTAATATGGGCAGTATATTTCTTTAACACGAATAAATAGCTCAGTTTAATTGGATATTACGTAACCAATTATTACCTGAGCAGTAAGATTCTGAACGAGCATACGATGATCAAAGGGAAGGTGAACACTAGCCTTGATTGCAACAACATTCATGCTTGACTCCCCTGTTTTCATTCCATACAATGCACAAAATCAGCTAATATCTAATGGATAGACGCCTCTATTTTTTTCTCCACGCTCCGCCCAACACCAGTAAGACAATAATATAGAAGAACCACAAAAATTAAGATATGTTGAATTTTAAATGGGTGTTATAAGACACGAATGAAAGACAATTATTAAACAGTGACAAGAAAAACAGTTAATAAACTAGAAAGCATGAAACTGCAACGCTGAATAGGCCTACGAGTATCAAATTTGATTGAATTACCATCATTTTTTACACCGACGAGCAGCTCAGTCTCTTCTCCAGCTGTTACCACTGCATCATATTCATATGAACAAACAAAATTAACCCCCTATCAAACAAAACAAATGAATACGTCATAAACCATATTTTTGTGCACTAGACAAAATCATTCTTACATCTTGCGCTATTTTTTGGAAATACAGATATTGTATCAATTCCTGGAGCAGAAGTGAAGATCTCATCACCAAAGTCTTGGGCATCATCACCAACGATGCCAATATCAGTTGCTTCTTCAGTGGTCTCCACAGCTTCATCTGAGTCTGACTGGCACCTAGCAACTAGCGAATAGAAAGAACAACATTTAATCATGGTAATGCACAAAATGCATGTAAACATATTTGTCAAGTTATTTGTGAGATCCAATGTGGCAAATAAAATAATAAATAACAGAGAGTAAGAGATACGTTGATCCAAGTTGCCAGCAAAAGGTGCTGATTCAACATGCATGCATCTTTTTAACATATAATTTAGAGTAAGATGAACAAATTCAGATAAACATGCATTTATTCAGTCGCATAGCATCTTCAGGTGACTCTAAATCAGTTATTTGGAACCACTGAAATCCGGAATCAATTTGAAATCTACTTTAAAAATTCATTATTGAAATTATCCAAATGCAACTGAATGCTTTCAACAAATGTTCCAAATGCATCCCTTCACCCACCCCAAATTAAAAAAAAAAAAAAAAAAAAAACTATACGTTAAATGCCAAGTGCCTGATTATACAATAGCCCAACGTTAAAAGTGTTATCTTTGCATTCTCTCTAACTTCAAAGTGGTAATGCTGTCTAGGAAATCAAAACAGAACAACACTTATGGTCCCGACAAAGGTCAGAATCCCAAAAAGATTCAAACTTTAACAAGAGTTATAAAGCAGATCAAAACCCAAAAGGCAGTTGGAAAGGGAGCAACTGGGTCTGTAAAAATGGAATCTCTTTCATGAATCCAACAACAAATCATGGCAATTATAACATGTGCACGGAAGCACGGATCGTAGCTAAAACGGATCTAGATCTAGGATTTTGGGGAGCAGACCTTGGAGGAGAGGGGAAGCGATGAGGAGAAAAGCGAGAGAGAAAATCCAAAAGCTTGTGACGGAGGCCATGAGTGGGAAGTATCTCTAGGGTTAGGGGTGTCACAATTCCAAAAGAAACTTGTAGATTTTGAACGCTCAAAATCAAATATTTGACTTGTAATGGGATGTTTGTGTGTACGGGAAGGTGCAAGTTCCAGGAACTAACATCGACAAGATGATGTCGTTTTGATTTATACCATATTTCGGAACAGTGATCAAGGTGCCACTGCTGGCCAAATTTTTGGCCAAAAAAGTTACTAGACTGTCACAACAATAAATTTTGCCAAAATGTCACGTGACATATTTCGCTACATTATGTAGCGAAATATGTGTGCAAATAATTCGCTACAAAGTGTAGCGAAATATTCTACGTCAGACTGCTCAGAACCAAAAATGTCACGTGTCAAAATTGTAGAAATTCTGCTACACTGTGTAGTCTGACGTGACATATTTCGCTACACTGTGTAGCGAATTATTTGCACACATATTTCGCTACATAGTGTAGCGAAATATGTCACGTGACATTTTGGCAAAATTTACTGTTGGCGTGGTAGTCTGGTAATTTTTTTGGTCAGCAGTGGCACTTTGGTCACTATTCCCCATATTTCTGCTGGCTTAGATGTCATGTGTGACTTGTCACTTTTCATTGGTAGTTTTATTGGGTGTAAGGCGTCGTTAGTGTGATGTATAAGACCTGATAGTATAAGCTTATATTATATGTTATGACATTTTTAACTATTTGGTGTGACCATCGTATAGTATAAGCTTATACAGCATGATTACTTAATCACGCCTAGGAGAGTATGATTAGGCCTTATAAGGGATTGATGTATTAACCAATGCAATTCTCAATAATTAATATATTATTTTAATATTAATATATTGAAATAAAAAATAATTGTTTAATATATAATTTTTTAAAATATTGGAGATATTTATTTTTATAAAAAATAATATATATTTTTTTTTGTATAAAAAAATAATATATTTTTTGGACACACTCATCAACAGATTTCTATAAATATTAATATCATCTGATATATTTGAAAAAATTATATAAATTCATTATTAAAAGTTACTTTTGCCAAAAATATTTATTTTTAGAGGAAGGATCCGTTTACAAGCTTTTTTTTACAAATTACACTAAGGGGGTGTACTGGATTGGGATTTCAAATGATTTTAATGGATTGTTTTCGGACAAAAAAATTCATTGGTATTCGATTAAGATTTTAAAGGACTGAAAAAAAGTCTCGTGGTATTCGATTAAGATTTTAAAATATTATTTTAGAGTCCATCCAAATTCGTTGGTATTTAATCTGGATTTTTAACAAAGGAAAAACAATCTTGTGGTATTCAAAAATTTGACGATTTTAATGGATTTTCTATTTGTGTGGATTTCGTGAGACTTTTTATTGAGAAATATAAATAGGAGGCCTCTCGCACAATCACACCATAACCCCTAGGATTTCTTGAGATTTCTCTATTGCAGTGTTTTCTTCTTCCTTTGATGGGTTGACCCGCTCAAAACCAGGTTCCGCCATGGGAGCTTCGTCAAAGCTCAAAAAAGCAGATTTTTTAGCGATTTTCATCACAAAACAACTCAGAAAAAAATACAACAACATCTCAAAAACAGCAGATTTTTGAGAGCTTTTAGAAGTTTAAAAAATGATTTTTCAAACTATAAGTCGTGATTTTTCTTGGCACAAAAATGTATGATTTTTGTACTGAAAATAACATAAAACCCCCAAACCAATTTTCATTTTACATCAATGAAACAAGATCAATTTAAAGAAAGATTGAAACTTTCATAATATAAAGTCTATATTTCGTAACAATACATTCATGAACGAAATTCTTTCGCTATATGAAACAATTTCAAACAATTTTTGTATCAATAGATAACTAAAAATTTATTTTTCAAAAGCCCCAAAATAATTTAATGAATACTCATAAATTCAGGTTTTAATATATCGATTGAAAATGATTTGAGAAATTTTCTTAACTTTCATGTAATAAAACCTTGAAATTCAGATTCAAAATTTTCTTAGAATATTCAATGAAAACATGCATATGATATATGGTTATAAAACTCTCATCACGTAGAACAAAAACCTCAAGGTTTTCAAGATCAATTGCAAAAAATTCAAAACAAAATTTTATCATGAACTTTAGGTTCTTTATGTAAATTTATAATTATTATAATAAATAAATAAAAATTAGGTCTTATAATAATATATGCATAGCTCTGATACCAAATGAAGAAGATAATTTTTAACTCATTGGTCAAACCCACGAACATGAACGAGAAAATACTAATGCATAGAGGACTAGTATAATTTTAGATATGTGGAGAGTTGTTGCTAAGTAATTTTGAATGTTTGTTAAAAATTATATTATGTTTTATTGATTGAAAAAATTATATTAGGTTTTACTTTTTTTTATTAATATCATTGCATTTTTTTGTTATTTTTTTTATTGACTCTTGTAATTTTGAATGTTTGTTAAAAATTCATATGATTTTTTAAAATCTTATAAATCCATATTGTCCTTTCAAATTTTATAAATTATATTAATATCCTTTAAAATCCAATCTTATGAAATCTTAATTGTAAAAATGTCTTTTAAAAAAGTCTTTAAAGCCCGTCCAATTCTAAAATAATCTTTTAAAATCTATGATTTTTTATCTCAAAAAACTCTTTCAAAATCCTAATCTAATACACCCCCTAAGTATGACCAGTCATACATTCTTAATTGAAGTATGACTGATCATACTTAGTGTAGTTTGTAAGAGTTTGTAAACAGAAAATTTGTAAATATAACATTCCTCTTATTTTTATCCTATCTAGTATTATACATTGCATACCAAATGTTTGATGATGTTATCTTATACAATATCTTGTCAAACACTAGATAGTATTAAGATTTAATCAAGTCTTATAAAATCAGGCCTTATACTATCAGGTCTTATCCTATCAGACCTTATCTAATACTGTGTACAAAACATGCCCTAAATGGGTTAGGGTCGTTAGACGACCTATTAGGGGTTTACAGCCTACCACAACGTAGATATGGTCTGCTCTATTTTGAGTAGATTTTAATTTTTAGAAAAATCTATTTAAAAATTAAGACATAGGCCTGCTTTAAAAATTCTGTCTTAAAAACCTGCAGGTAGGGGTGAAAGTGGGCTGGGTTGGGCCAAGCTTTGGACCGAAAAGCCCAAGCCTACGTCAAAAAATTTCAATTTGGTCTGGCCTTAGCCTAATACGAGTCTAACTGTTAACCTGGTTTGACCGTTTATAAAAAAACAAATAGCCTAACCTAACCCAGCCCAACCTAATACGAGCCTAGCCTAACCCGTTAGCTTGTTAATTTTTAACTTCCAAGAGAAGAACCATGAATCAACTTTACAAAATACTCAAATTATGTTGCTAAACCAAAAATCATAATTTCAACATCCAAACAGAATCATAAATCACAACAAAACTCATACAATCTGCATTTAAGTCAATTTCAAAAGCAAAATGCTCAAAATAAATAACATATATTTTATCAGATCCAACAACCAAATCCATACTATGTAAATTAAAATAACTACATGAATCTAACAAACACATCATGAAGTTTGTAGTAATTATAACATCTTCCAAAACCCATTTAATATATTCATATACACAATCTAACATGCTGAGATGTTGGTTCCTCCTACATAAGAAATAAAGTCAGATTTCTATTAAAATATAATCGAATATAATTAAGTTATAAATAATTGCAATTGATTAAATTTATATCTTTTGTTTTTTCTTCAAGTCATACTTATTCTATTTTATTTTATTTAAAATAAATAGTATAATACAGGCCGGCCTGTAGTCTTATAGGTCAGGCCTTGTGAAAGTGAGCTTATGACTTTTTTTATTAAACAAGCTTTTTCAAGGCCCAAGCCCGACCTATTTTACAAAATATATTAAGTCAGGTTTGGCCTGACGTAGGCCGAGTCGTAGGCTCCTGTAGGCCGGCACGACCCAGTTTCACCCCTACCTGCAGGCTTGTCTTTCAATTTTTTTAATAATATAATATATTTATTATATATATTGTTCATTTAAAGACATATTCTGAGATCCTGATTTGTAACAATAATTTTTAAAGTAATAGGAATGATGTTATTTTAATAAATAATAAATATTTATTTTAAATTTAAAATATAATATTAAATTAAATTAGTAAAGAAAGTGCAAATTATATGTATACATATATAAAATTTTCATGTGATCTTTATGAATATTATTTCATGTGTTGTTAATGAAAATATTATTTCATGTGATTTTTGTGAATAAGAAATTTTATCTTTTATATTTTAGGTTGGTTTGGGCCTATAAATTTTAGTTTGCAACTCAGTTGGTCTTACAAGCCGTGTTGGGCTTTTAGTTTTTTATAATAGGCAATGTCAGATCTATAAATCAAGCATTTAATAGGCTAATAGACCAGTATAAGCTCTAAATATTTTACATATGTTTAGGCTATCAAAGAAAGCATGACCTAACTTGACCCATTTACACCCCTACACCTAATGTCTCTCTTATCACGTTCCCTTATAGCGGTGTAAATAGGCTAGACTAGACTTTGCCTTAAATAAGTCAGGCATGTGTAAATAATAATAATAATAATAATGGGTCTACCTGACCTGTTAGCCTGTGTAGGCCCCAAATTACAAGTCTAGCCGACCCATATTTAAAAAATAAAAGCCTTTGGTTAAGCTTATTACCTTGTTTAAACCTATTAAACATTCAATAATTAAATAATAATTAAAATAATATTTCTTTATTATTCGAAATTATTAAAATAATAATTTAATTTATCTCATTTAAAATAAATAATACGATATAGGCCAGTTTGTAGGCTAGGCTTATAGGCTCGACATGTAAACAAAAGCCTATGGTCTATTTTCTAAATATGTTTTTTTTAAAGTCTAGGCCTTTTCTATTTTACTAGGCAGTAGGCCCCTGTAGGCTGGTCAAGCCCATTTACAACCCTGCTCCCGTACTAAGGAAAAAAATTTAATGTATTATTATTTTAATACAAAATTATGAAAATATAGTCATTTTGAACCAATTTACGAATCTATTGCACTCAG